GGTACCATAATTTATTATTTGAATTTTTGGACTTAAGAAATGAGTTGGACAGTAATGATTTCATTACAATGGGACAGTTTGAATTTACTTATGCATATAGACTGTATCCATGGTGGTGACTTAGAAACAGTTTTATGGAATTATTTGTGTTACAAATGGAACTGCTAAAATGGAGAAAAATTATTATTATTATTATTAATATTGTTATTATTTATTATTAATTTTACCTAGGCTCAAGATTCAGTTTTGTGTATGCACATATGCTTTACTAACTGGGGTGATTCATGAATTGTTTTTTGTTAAAATGGAACTGTTTTGGTAAAAATGAAATTGGTTAAAAATGGAGAAGTTTGAGTTTTTTTCTTTTTTCTAAAAAACTATAAAGAAAAAGGGGAGTGTTAATATTCCTTAGTCTATTAAATTTCAAAACATTTTAGTGTTACCTGAGTGAATTAATGTTATGTTTTGTATAGCTCTATTAAGAAATTGTTTTTGTATGTAGGTTTATAAGAAAGTATTGATGAGTTTAGTGAGAATATTGCCTTTGAATGTATGTTTGTAGGAATTATAATGGTGTATAGTAATGTTCATGTTAGAATTATTATGTTAACCTATTGATATACTGCACCATGGTTTGTTGAAGTTAAGGAAGTATTTAAGTTTGATGTGAATACATCAGAAATTTCTCCTATGTTTTGTTATCAAGAAAATCAAATGGTTCTATTAAGAGTTTGTTTAAGGTGTAAGATTGAGAGAATTGTATCTATGTACAGCAATATTTATGTTAGAATTATGTTAACCTGTTAATGTCAATGATGACACTATGGGAGTTTTTAAGTCTGATACAGTTGCATCAGGAGTTTTTTTTTAATTTATTTATTTAAAGGGCTTGATGCAGCCTAAACTGCTGTAGTCATCTTAGACCCATTTCAAAAAAGAAATGCCATCTTTATCATCTTCTACTCCCATACTTGGAGGTATGACAGCTATGGAGATTCCTGTGAGCTCTCAATGGGTTTTTTATATATTAAGAAAGGGGGGACCTGTTGGAGCCCATTTTTAGGTTTCCTATTTTGACTTTACCCAGTAGGTCTGCATAGAGAGGATAATTAGACCATAGACTTGAGTGCAAGTATCTGAGATGGTGTGCACTTGGGTGTGGTGGTGGGAGGCATTTTGTTCCCCCCCCTTGGCATTCCTTTAAATACCCTAGTGCAGAAATAATCATCTCCTGATGGACTGGGATCCAGGCCCTATGAGGCTATCCTTCATTTCTCTCTGTTTCTCTTCCCTCTATCCTTCTAACTAATATTTCCTGTCTGCTCCTACTCAAGAGTACTCTGGGGGAAATGTGGGGGTGAGGGATGGCTCCCCACAGAGGGGCACTATTAGAAGGTATGGTTTTGTTGTTATGGGTGTGGCCATATTGGAGGAAGTGTGTCACTGTGGAGACAGGCTTTGAGTTCTCATACGTGCCCAATCAGTGAATCAGACCGCATCATGTTGTTTCTAAGTCAAGATGTAGTGACTCTCAGCTCCTGATCTAGCACCGTGTCTGCCTGCCTGTTGCCTTGCTTCTCACCCTGATGATAAAGAAGTAAACCTCTGAACTGTAAGAGAGCCACAAAAACTAAATGTTTTCCTTCATAAGTGTAATAGAAACCCTAACCAAGACAGAGAGAATTTAATATTACACAGTTATGAAGGAAAACAACACAAAATTCCTCAGTCAGTTAAAAATATTCACTGTATGCACTAAGTGAGTGATTCCACCATCATACATATGAAAACAACACATGACATGTGCTGGTCAAG